TAGAAATACTATAATAATAATAATAATAATAATTTGTGAGCAGGAGAAAATCTTAATACCAGAATGCAGATTTAAAATATGGAGATTTCTTGGAAAGGTCCTTAAGTTGTGGATAGTTCATAATGGCATGAGGTTTTCTGAGGTGTGGGGATTATGATACAACTGGATCTGATTTTACAGTCCACAACATAGGAAGGGCAACAGTTTTTTAAATTAGATTGAAATGCGAAAGCTATCTTTTTCTTGTTATGAATAGCAAGTGTTGACAGGTACAGCTGTACCTACTAAAAGTTTAACAAATAATTAGCATATCATTTGTTGAAGGGGGTCCTACTTTGAGTATAATGAGAATTATAAGAATAGGAAACTGCAATATGATAAAACGAAGCTTAAATAGATGGAAAAGCTGTGTTGGCAGAACTGAACATTTCTGTTAGAAAATTTGTGTAACCTGTTATTCCTGAATACTTCTAAACTGGCTGTAATAAATCTCAACAACAAACAGGTGAACAGGATTGGCTGCTGCTCTCCAGTCTCCTCCTGGGTGTCCAAACCTGCTCCTAGCAAAGCAGGTTCCAGAACACTTCAAATGTACTCTGGGGGTTGAGGTGGGGGGTGGTTTGGAATCAGGATGTGGTGGCATGAAGAATGAGGGAATGAGATCCCTGCCTCAACCATACCATGGTTACAGGTAAGAGTGGTACTTTCTGTATGCACATGGGCTTGCCTAGCGACCGGATCCCGGGGAGTCCCCGTGTTCAGTTCATGTAGGGCACTGGGCAGGCTCATTGAATCTCATTGCCACTCTGCTTGCTCGCAAGATTACATCCGGCAGGAAGAAAGGTCAGTATATTGCAAGGCATTTTTGCTGCTAGTATGCAAACTTGCTCAGGGAAAGTATTGATCTTGCCATTGAGAAAATCCTGATAAGCTTCAAAGAAACCCTGCTATTTTCCAGAACTCAAAGTGAAGACCGTTGCATCAGAGGAACTGAATACAGTGTTCTACTACTGCAGTGAAAAAGCAAATATATGAGAGTAGTGAACGTCCTGAAAAAAATGCCCCCTCTCCTGTTTATCATGAACTGGCACATTGCAATCGGCACACCCCATGTCCCAGTGCATGGCACACATTATGAACAGATTAGCCTTCTCTTGTGCTCCTGTGCCTGTTCCAGAGGGCAAATTCCTCCACAACTGATCCTCTACCTGGATGAGAAGAGGAGAATTGCATGGAAAAAGTGCAAGCCAGAACAGCCCAGTCTGGATGGAACGTGGCTATGCATACAAGTACCCTTCATTCCAATTTGACTGCAGCACAGCAGGAGCAGATTCCGATTCGCATGAACTTTATTTGAGTTGGATATTCCTAAATCCCACCCCTGACTCCTTTCTTAAAAGGGATTGAATTTCCTTTGCTTATGTTTCTCTGAAGAGGAGTAGTATACGTGTACATTTTTTTCAGGAAGAGAGTGGGACGCTCTTCTGCTCTCAGCCCGAATGTGGATTTACTGCTTGGATCGAATGAGCTCACATCTCACACTGCCGGGAGAAAAACACTGCATTTTCTCCCCACAAAGGATTTATACCTAAATAAGTTTGCGTGAGTTAGAGGCACCCCAGACTCATGGCCTGGCTGCTTCTTAGGACTTGCTTCCCAAAAATTGCCCCCAGAGGCAAACTTTCTTATAAAACTAGAGCGTGGAGCAGTGGAGGGCTGACTGCATACATGCCAGAAGCCACAGCTTTCCCTGGCCCACCAAAGGACCACCAAGGATTGTATCAAGTGTCTGTGGAGCAAACAGATGCATTCTGGGGAGCATTAGGAAGAAGCCGGCTTACGTGGAGCAATCCTTTTCATTCTGTTCATAACTGTAACCTACAACAAGGCCACGTGTCCTGGTTCCTTGGAGGGAAGTTAAATGTATCAGGTAAGTGGAAACCAGTCTGCTGTTCTTTGTCTCTATTGTGGGGGAAAATTTTCTTGTACTCTGGACACTTTGGTGCTGGATCCTTTTCCTGTGAACTCAGTTTATTCCTCAGTTCTAAAAATTCAATTCATTTTTCCACTGTTTGATAAGCATGAGAATTAATGTTTGATTAAACATTAATCTAGGGATCCTGAAGATAAGCATATCATTATTACCATTATTAGGTAGATTCAAGGTCACAAAAAATGTGTGTTTTGAGAACTCCAGATCTCTTAATCAGGCAAGAAGTTACAAAAAGCAGTTTGGCAGGGTTGGGATGGAGGAGAAAGACTAACCCGGCAGTGAAGTCAGAATGCCTGTGAGGTCAATTTCAAGATGATATGAAGGAGCAGTATGGGGTTTGGCCCTACAAATGAAATTCTACCAGATGATCTGATGATTTCACCTTTCAGTATCCCTTACAATCACTGGGAAGAAAAAAATTACAGATACAAAATCTAGCTGTACCCAAATTTATGTTAATTTTGGGTTGATCAGACAGATTTTCCACCAGCCAAGGAACCTGCCTGGCATGGGTGGGAGAAATCTTGGCATGGAGAGTCAATGTGAGTAAAATGACTCAAAATCCTCCTCAGCCAGAGTGGACTTATGCTACAGCCACAATCTTTCAGACTAGCCTACTTTGCAGGAAGGATAAAACAAATGGAAATTATCCATGTTGCACTGGTTTCCTTGGAAGAAATAAAATGCATTCTTTAAAAGAGCACATAATAATGTAATCTGCAGAAGAGCAATCGAAAGCTAAACAGGCAGGTTTGCACAACACACTAAGCTACCTTGTTAATAAGTCAAGAAGTGTTGGTTGTTTACCAAACAACCCACGATACAGTTAACAGACGACAGTGCTCACCATGGCTTGTTCTCACTTCCTCTTCCTGCCTGTTCTTCCTGCCAGCTCCTGCACCCCTTCCAGCTCTGTGGTGGAATCCACACCCCACAATCCCTTTCTCCATCAATGAATCAGCAGCCTTGTTATGAATGCTCCAGGTGGCTGGCCTCTGTTGGAAAGATATCCCATCCTCCACCTGTACCAGCTGCTACTCATATTTTCTAGTAGGACCTGCAAAACTGGTCATGCCTTTCTGTATTTTGATTAAGCTGCTGCTCTCTTTGCCTGCCTACACTGCATGTTTATTTTGACCAGTCTCCCATTCCTCTCTAAAGTGTCCATGAGAAAAGCTGCTCTATTTCACCATCCCTCCTAACACTGTGGCTATACTTCATTTAGTCCATGCACCAAGTCTTCTCCCAGCCTGCACCCCAACCTCCTGTGGAATCCCTAAGGAGGGCTCACTCCAGTCCTCTCTTGCTATGTCTCCCATGCAACCCTACAAGTCTATTTTCCCTCTAGAAGCCTCCAGTGTGTTGCAACTCTACATATGTTTGTTGTTATGCATCAGCAATAAGAACTGCTTTTCCTTCAGAGAATGCTGGTAGACATTGCTTGCATTAGGGGTGCTGCTGGGATGCGTTTCTTGCTCTCAGCTGGAAATGCAAGGAACTGAACTGCAGGCTTCTGTGGTGGAGCACGACTACAGAAAACAAAGCATTGAGGGGTTATGTGGGGAATGCTGTGTTGCAGCTGATATTTATTGGGGAGGGATGAATATATCTGAAGGAAGGTAGATTATGCCACATTGTTCTAGCAAATGTAACAGGCAAATGGAAAAAGCACGTATGCAGGTGTGGGTTGTTCTTAGGGCTCATGCCCAGGCAGGTAATGGGTCCAGATCCACTCACAGATTGCTAAACGGTTTATTTGTTTTTCGGCGCCAGGCGAAGACCTTTTTATTTAAGCGGCATTTTAACTGTTAGTATTACTTGATTTTATCTGGCCAGGGCGGCTTATTTTATATTGTATTTTTGGATTTTTAATGTTTATATTTATTGTAATTTATATTATAATTACTTTTATTTATTGTTGTAAGCCGCCCCGAGGCTTTGGCGAATGGGGCGGCATAAAAATGTTTTAATAAATAAATAAATAAATAAAATTGTAGCTTTCTCCCAAGTTTCTGATTTGGGAGCTGGATTCAGGGAAAGGGGTGGAAGTTCATTCCCCTCAACAGCAGCCACACAGTAATTTTCAGCCTCTGATCTGAGAGTCAGCGTTGTCCCGAAGGAACATTGGTCAAGGTGAATTCTAGAAGATAGTTGTGTCATGAGTTTTCCTAGGAATCTTAGCATAAAAATCCATGAATATTCTTAGAGTTCACAAGCACCTGGAAGATCATACTGTAAAAGTGTTTAGGATTCCTCACCCCATTCTGGCAGGACTAAAATCCAGATCTGCAAGAAAACAAAAGCCGCCACACCTGAGAGATTCCCTGCTCATGGAAACCCCACACATTCCTTCTCTCGTTCTCCACTGTTCTGATGTCAGCAAGGTGAAGCTCATTTGGAACATCCACTATCTTTCTGAATTTCACATGCTTCCCTACTCCGAAGATAAAGCTCATTGGCAGGTACTCATTGTGGAGAACAAGTCAGTACAGAGTCAGGCCCAGTTTTTTTTAACTGATAAGGATCTTTGCATTACTATAATGGATTATAGGTCAGATTTCCAAAAGCGACCTGTGATATGTGCAATCTTACCCCCAGCTGGCATCATCCCAGGTAGCCACATTGCGAATCGATACTTAGATGACCTATGTGCATGGTCGTGTCCCCTGGCAGACCATGTATCTATCGAGTGTGAGTTCTTCCCCCACAATGGCAGTGAGTGTGGTATAACTGTCTGCTTCAATAGATGCCAACATTTGCATCCACTGCAGACCTGCCCACAGCCTGGGAAAGGCTCCTCAAGTAGACCTGCTCTGCTGTGCTCTGCCCCTACTCACCACCCAGGTGCTGCAGGTGGGGCAGAGCCGCTGTCTTGCAACCGGGCTTGAGCAGCTCTTTATCATCATCGTGGTGGTCGGGAAGGGCCTTTACACCTTTGTCCATTTCTGTTGAAGTAAGTGCTTCCTCTGCCATTCCTTCAAAGAACAGTTGAGGGGTGGAAGCAATGCCTACAGCTGTGGAGAAGGGAACTGCAGAAGATGAAGAGGGGGCACAGGCAGAGTGGGTGGAGGAAGAGGCATGGGAAACAAGCACCTCTGGTTGTGCTGGGGATGATCTGGGGTGGAAGGTGGCACCATAAATGTTGAAAGGTGGGTGGAGGACAAAAAGCCTTTGATAATGTTAATTGGCAGTTTATGAAACAACAGATGATTCAAATGGAGTTTGGTGAAAGAGTTATGAATGCGATATCAAGTATTTATCAAAAGCAATCGGCCAGGATCTTAATTAATGGAGAACTTTCAAACCCTATAGAGATTCAAAAGTGCACAAGACAAGGATGTTCTCTGTCACCCCTCTTGTTCATTATGACTTTAGAGGTACTGAATAGATGTGTTAGGGATGACGAGGACATCAAAGGAACTAGAATTAGAGATGAAAGTTATAAATTGCAAGCATTTGCGGATGATCTGGTTTTTATAATGGAGGAACCTTTTTCAACAATGCCCAAACTTCTACAACAGATTGAAGAATGTGGTGAAGTTACGGGAATGAAAATAAATAGAGAAAAAATGAAATTATTAGTTAAAAACCTTACGTGAGAACAAAAAGAAAGACTCCAGGAACAAGTAGACTTGCAGATTGATAAAAAGGTTAAATACTTGGGAATCTATCTTACAGCTAAATGTACTACCTTGAAAGAAGATAAATATGATAAATTATTGAAGGATATTAAAGGCTTTTTGGAAAAATGGGCCAATTTACAATTATCTTTGATAGGAAGAATAGCTCTTGTCAAAATGAATATATTACCTAAACTTTTGTTTTTGTTTCAAATGATTCCCATAAAAATTGATTAAAAAATTCTTTGATGACTTAAACTTTCATATCTCGAGGTTTATCTGGAGAAAAAAACCCCAAGGATTAAATTAAAAATGCTTCAGGAAGCTAAAAGAAATGGAGGTTTTGGTCTTCCTGATTGGATGTTGTATTATCAAGCATCTGTTTTAACTTGGTTAAAAGAATGGGTAACGTTGCGAAATAAGAGAATTTTGTATCTTGAAGGTCATGACTTGCAGATGGGATGGCATGCTTATATGTGATATGAAAAAGCTAAGTCACATGGGTCCTTCCTGAGTCATTTTATTAGAAGATCTTTAATGTCAGTGTGGGAAGAACTTAAGCTAAAACTGTATAATAAGTTACCAAGATGGCTTTCACCTATGGAAGCTTTTGTATATCCAAATGTATTGAACTTTGAAAAGATCATAAGATATCG